TAGTAGCAGGTTTTCATCAAAGTCAAAATATTCAGTAGATCCTGAATAAAAAAAGGTTCAAATGATGGAAAATCCATGGATTTGGAATAAATGTATGAATGTTGCTTGTAACAAATAAAATTCTTTTTATTTTAAAATCCATATTGTATTTAAAATTGTGTTATAAAAGTGTGAGAAAAGTAGTTTAACATATTAATGAAATGGTTGACATCCACCATTTGCTTTGTACCTGGCACCATTCTAAGTACTTCACGTGTAGTGTTTAATTTTCACAGCAATCCTGTTTTCATTAACGTGAAAATGGAAGCACTGAGAGTTACTTGCCCAGGTCACACAGTTGCCATCCAGAACTGGTGTCTGGCAGTCTGATTTTAGACCTATGTCCTCAGCCACCATGTTTTCCAAACCCCCTCATACTAAAACTCACCTATGGTTGACCAGCGATAACACTGCTAATGTTCCTTTATATATTTTACAGAAGTAGGTTTTGTGAACTGCTTTTAAATATAACATCTTCCCATGTCATTAAACATTGAATACTACTCCAGGAGTGTGTGAGAGAGTTATTCATTTTCTATCAGTGCTCAGACTGCTTAGTTTTACCAGCTCAACATAGGAAACTATATAATATGATTTATGATTTAAAGACTGGCTTGAAAAAAGTAGAAACCTCTGTGACTATATTGTATATGTTAATTATAATCCTAATGACTATTAGTAATTTGTGTAGATAACACAACATAGATAATATAGACGGACAACTTATAAGAAGTAGAATGTGGTGTGCCATATAGTTTTCATGTATTCAGTGCTTCAAAGCTTTCAATTCTATCTGTAGCAACTTTAGTTTTAGAAGTGTGTTTAAGAGCTTAAAACTTTGAAAACAGAATTTGAATCCCAGTTTGGGCACTTACTAGGGATATTTAAACATATTATTAAGTATATTTACATATTATTAAACATATTATTAAGTCTCAGTATTGCTATCTGTAAATTGAGTCTAATAATAACATTTACCACATAGGAGTGGTATGTAGGGATTGTGAAATTTGTCCATTTTTTCAACAAATATTTGTTGATCTCTCTTCTGTGCAAAGAACAGTCTAAACACTGTCATGTATTAGGGAAAATAAAAATTCATCCCATGACTCATTAAGTTTATATGCTATTGGGGTTAGAGAGCTAATAAACAAATGAATGTTTAATATTATATAAATAAAATATAGATGACATATATAATATACTTACCTTAGAGATTACCATGTGGCAAATGCAAAGTGTCATTGGTGCAAAATAATAATAATTATTATTTTATTTTATTGCACATGTAAGATACCTATGTGCTAAAGAAGCAACTGTGATAATAAAAAAAAAAATGAGAAAAAAATCAATGATATTTAGCTTTTGCCTTGCAAAGTACTTAAAATAGAGGCATTCTGAAAAGAATGCAGATTCTTGGGATTTATATATTGAATAAATGTGTTTCTTTTCATTTTATGAAGACAAAGCAGAGACTCCTAAACAGAGTTGGTCTCCACTGCTGCCCTTCTGACTTAAGCACTTGCATGCTGAAGTTTTGGTTTGCTTATTCTACTTAAAAATACTATTGATAACATTGAAAAATCACTAATGAAGCTCCCTTCCCCAGGCCCATTAGCAATTTACATTTCACAAATGAAATCAACAGCCTGGAAAAGTCTGCACAGGAAATGGCAGGCTGCCTGCCTCAACAACTTAGCATGGGGCCTTCTTGGTTCCATATTTCCGCAATGCTTGTACGTGTAGCCCAAAATGAAAGGCTTCAGTGGCAAATGTTTACAGAAATTAGATATGTTATTATTCTACAATAGTAATTAGTGGTAGAAAAAAATTAAACAGTGAAGATGGAATGAAAAATAAATGCTTGCCTGCCGCCTCTCTGAACTCACAGTCCCAATGGCCAGTATTAACTAACAACTGTCCTTAGTTTCCAGAAGCATCTCATTATAACTTTTTATTGAGCTTCATATATAGACAAAGTTTATATATATATACACACATATGTAAATATATATATAGTTGTTTTTATATGGCTTGAAATAAATCCTGGTTAGAAACTGCAATCTCATATGGCTCAAAAAATACTTTACTGTCAGTAGAAATACCATCTACAAAATAAGTGCACTGAGTTCTTAAAAATCGAGTAGCCTAATAAAAGAGTTGTTCAACTTAGAAAATCCGTTGCCTATTTCTCACATATGAATTCCTGCCTCGAATATTCAAGGGCAAAGTCCCAATTCTGTTTTTTAAAAAAAAGAAAATTACTTTGAAAGATCATGCAATTTGAGTTTATGAGCATAATTTAAAAATAGCTAAGCTCTTTATACACATCACTCCAAATTCTCACATCAATTTTACAACATTATTTTCTCCATTTTAGCAATGGCAGAATAAAGACTTGAGGTTTTACGTAATGCCCAAGGTCACAGAACTTAGGAAATGGGCTTGCTTTTAAAGTCAGATTATAGAACCCAAAAACTGACTCTTCATACACCAAAAAAACTTATTCTAGGTCATCTTTAGCATTACTGTTCACATAACACTAAAGCCAGTAATTCTATTCTAGAAAGAGGGCCCATAGCTACACATTAGATAGCATCTTTTCATAAGAATGCATACAAAATTCTGTGTACAAGACCGAAGTTGGTTCTGGTTGTATTGTATCCATAGTTGATAAAAATATACTCCACAATTTTTCCAAAAGATCGTTAGACACACATTAAGTCCGAGAAGATTTCATTTCAAGATTGCAATAACAATGTGATTGACAGGAGTGAGAGCTGTGTGCAGAGTGGGAAGCAAAACTGTTTCAAATAGATACCTATTCTTGATGAGCAAAATGCTAATGAACTGTGTCCTTGGAAAAAAAGATTTAAATTTGCAGTAATTTGTTTCTAAGAAATCCAAATATTCAAAATTAGCCATACTTCAGAAACAGAACTAAGAAGGAGACCAAGATCATTCTATCCAGACCTTGGGATATGACCCGGGTGAAGGGAAATAGGTAGGGAAAATGGAATCATAATTCTGCCACTTAGCAGCTGAATGAACTGTAAGCTTCAGTCACTTCATCTACCAAATGGGGATTAAAATAGCATGTACTTCATAAAATAACGGAATAACACAAGTTAACAATTGACCAGCACTTGAGCCATAATAAGTACCCCAGAAAAAATAATTCTTATTACTAGAATTGTGCTAATTTGCTTGAAAGTTTAAACTGTACTGTTGACCTAGCATAGATTCAATAAAGACAGAACTGTTGGAGAAAAAAAAAAGTTGTTTCCTTTCCAAAGAAGCCAAAATCTCATCAGAACTCACCATCAAAAGAGAGAATTGTGTTATTGTAGACTAAGTAGGAATTAACTTTAGCCTAAACTGACTGAGACAAAACATAGCATCAGGAAACCCAACAATTGAAGGTATCATTGAATTATTGGAGGCCATATTTGCTATCATTGGAAACATAAAGACATCACTTATTTTTTTAAGTTTCTGAAATAAAATGTAAATGCAACAGCTATGCGACATTGAACTTTTATCTCTAGTTCTAGAGGCACAAGATGAATCAATTTCTTCTAGGACTATGGATACCCAACAGGGACCTTTAGTCTTTCTATATATTCCATTTATTTCACTCATTCATTCCTTCAACAATATTCGTTGATCATATACCACATGTCAGATATTTCACCCAGTGCTGATATTTGAGTAATAAAACACAGTTCTTGCACTAATGGAGCTTAAAATCTAAAGAGTGGTTACAGACAATAACAAAATTTTCTATAATACTGTGGCACATAGAAAACATTAAAATAGGGTATATCTACAAGCTAACTGAATGTGTCAAAAAAAGGGGAGAAATATGTGCCAAAGAGTGTCAGAGTGCATTAATAGCACCAATACTACTTGCATTCCATACTTGCATACTGAGTGCTTTCAAGTATTATAGGGAGTAGGATGTACAAGCCTATGACATTCTTTATTATATACAATTCTGCAGTTAAACAACTTAGCTTTTTAAATTATAACTACAGAAAATGAGACATGGCTAGGCTAAAACCCAAATAAAACTGGTAGCATTATCCCTTATACATAGTTTATGCTCACTAGGTATTCCAACTATGACGTCAGTTTTTCTGCTGTTTGAAGGGAGGAAAAGTATAAAGTACCAGAACTCTTCCATTAATCAAAAGAAGACTCTATACCAAGAACAGATAACTATAAAGCCTAAGCAAAGTTGGTTAAATAAGAGGATAGGCTGGCAACATGAAAATATAGGCAAGTATCTCTTCATTAGGGTGGGGCTATAAATATTACTTGAATAGTTTAAAGAAGCTATGAATTTATTTTATACTGGTGTTTTTAGAATGCAGAATTTCTGGACAAAAGACACTGTCCCAGGACAATAAGAGAACAAGATACTTCATTTCACTGATTGTTTATATTATTATATTAAATTTAAGTAAAATTGATTTATTTTATAAAATTAATACTAATAGAAATACTGGGAAAACAATAATTATATTAACCACCAGGTGGAGCCCCATGAATTAAATGTATAGTAGTCCAAAAAAAATTACTTAAGTTGATCAAATTAGGAAAATTTATGACATTTTTCTTCTGAGCAATTTTTATTAATTTTTAAATTTGCAATATTTGGAGAAAGCATAAATTATAAGTCCTGGCTTTTATTAAAGACAAGAAGCCAAATTACTTGATTAGCATGAAACTTTTTTGCAAACTGGATATTAAAATCAAAGTATTTTTGCTTAAGTTACTTTATGATTTACCAAAGATACATATTCTATTAATATTTTGATAACAGTATATAACTATAATTGAAATTGAGGACAAGAAAAATCAGTGAAGCCTACCTATTAATCCACTTTGTACTGATTATTTTTCAAATTTTTTTTCCCCTTTTGTTTGTACGTGTTTATGTGTATGTTTTACCACAGAACCTGAAACTAAAAAAGATGAAAAGATGTCCAAAGCAGGTAAGGGTATTTTGTAAGATTTACATACAAGGAGATGTTCTGTTTGGTTGGAACAAAGCTAGTTTTACAGTTTTACAATCATGGCTGGATAAAACATTTAGACATCCAAAACATTAAAAAAATACTGATGCTACGTGCTGTATATTTTACAAGTAATAAGCAATAAAATTAAATGTATGCTAAAGTTAACAAAAATTCCTTGCTTTCTGGTAGCAGATTTTGGGTAAGTTTATCAAAGCGCTAGAACCATTTTCTTTATTTACTGGGCAATTGAACACTGTTTATGAAATGCTAAGAGGGCACCTTAAATGTCAGAGGCTCCATACAGAGCGAGACAAATGCCCACAATTTATTATTATCATGCATTGATTTTTATGAACCTGTATTTACCTGCTTTCAACCATTTTTGATCTCTAAAAAAGGAGTCCCACGCGATCCAACCTAACAGATTAAACATTTTTCTTTCCCACAATTAAATGTGCAAATATTTTATGGAGACGTAATCCATTGACCTATTGGCTATTAATTTGAAAGTTGAAATATTTTTAAAATAGACTTTCTAAAAACAGGTTTGGCAAGGGAAGAATTCAAGAGATTAGCAGGGCACTCAAGGCAAGTGATGAAGGTTGAGTGGATGAGTAGCATAGAATAGGGGAAAATGTAAAAAAGGAAGACAATAAATCCTAAGGAAAATTTCCATTATAGTCTCTCCATTTGTTAATCCTAATTCAAGTATTTTATATCTATATAAGGAGATTTATATATTTATATCTATCTATATCTGTATCTCTCTGCATAGTGAAAGTGATACTACATAAAAGCAGACATTCATGCTGTTGGTCTAAAAATTTTTGCATGTATTCATTTGCACACATCGTAGTCTATATTTAAGCAATTATTGTAATTAACCCTTCTATGTATATGTTAAATATTAAATTATTAAAGTCACTTATCTTAAGAGCACTGCCATTAGACCAAAATAAATTGTTTAAGTTATTTTCTTATTTTTAGTGATTTTTAGTGAGTGAGCATGCCCATTTGAAGTAATTTTGTGTAATTTTAAAATATGCATTCTTTGGAAGATCAGTGAAAAGTTGAACAATTTTGAGGCCGGGCATGGTGGCTCACACCTATAATCCCAGCACTTTGGGAGGCCGAGGCTGGTGGATCACGAGGTCAGGAGTTTGAGACCATCCTGGCTAACTTGGTGAAACCCCGTCACTACTAAAAATACAAAAAAATTAGCCGGGCGTGGTGGTGGGCACCTGTTGTCCCAGCTACTTGGGAAGCTGAGACAGGAGAATGGCGTGAATCCGGGAGGCAGAGCTTGCAGTGAGCCGAGATTGCGTCACTGCACTCCAGTCTGGGCAACTGAGCAAGACTCCGTCTCAAAAAAAAAAAAAAAAAGAGAAGAAAAGTTGAACAATTTTAAACTGCAGAAAGAAAGCATAATAGAGATAAAATGGTATATTGAGTGTTTACATCAAAAGTTACAACTGAACTTTAGATTTATCTTCAGAAAAGGAAAAACTGTGTACAAAATAGGTGCATTATGTTGTCCTTTCCTGTTTGCATAACATTGTATTTATGCTTTATTTTACTGATGATATATAATAGAAAAAGTAACATGCACTAACAATTTCCTATTATTAGTTTACATTAAGTATTTATGTCTATTTTATTATTATTACTTAAATTGTATTTTAAGTTCAGGTGTACATGCGCAGGATGTGCAGGTTTTTTACATAGGCAAAAGTGTGTAATGGGGATTTGTTGTACCAATTATTTCATCACCCAGGCATTAAGCCTAATATCCATTCGTTATTTTTTCTGATCCTCTTCCTCCTCCCACCCTCCACCCTCCAATTGACCCCAGTTTGTGTTATTCTCCTCTATGTGTTCATATGTGCCCATCAATTAGTTCCCACTTATAAGTTTATCCTTAGTTTCCTAAGGATAATGGCCCCCCATTCCATCCATGTCACTGCAAAGGATCTTATTCTTTTTCATGACTGCATAGTATTCTATGGTGTATGTGTACCAGATTTTATTTATCCAGTCTATCATTGATGGGCATTTGACTTGATTCTATATCTTTGCTGTTGTAGATAGTGTTGCAATGAACACATGTGTACATGTGTCTTTGTAACAGAAGGATTTATATTCCTCTGTTTATATACCCAGTAATGAGATTGCTGTGTTAAATGGTATGCCACGCTGGTCTTTGATGAATCAACACACTGTTTTCCACAATGGTTGAACTAATTTACAGTCCCATTAACTTTGTATACACGTTCCTTTTTCTCCACAACCTCACCAGCATCTGTTATTTTTAGACTTTAATAATAGCTATTTTGGTTAGTGTGAGATGGTCTCACTGGAGTTTTGATTTGCATTTCTCTAATAATCACTGATATTAAGCCTTTTTTCATATGTTTATTGGCTGCATCTATGTCTTCTATTGAAAAGTGTATTTTCATGTCATTTGCCAACTTTTTAATGAGTTTGCTTGTTGTTTCTTGTAAATTTGTTTGAGTTCCTTATAGATGCTGGATGTTAGACCTGTGTCAGACACATGGTTTGCAAAAATTTTCTTCCATTCTGTAGGTTGTCTGTTTACTCTGTTGATAGCTTCTTTTGCTGTGCAGAAGCTTGTTGGTTTAATTAGATCCCATTTGTCAATTTTTGCTTTTGTTGCAATTGCTTTTGGCGACCTCATCATGAAATCTTTGCCAATACCTATGTCCTGAATGGTATTGCCTATGTTGTCTTCCAGGCTTTTTATAGTTTTAAGTTTTACATTTAAGTATTTAATCCATCTTGAGTTAACTTGCGTATATGGTCTAAGGAAGGGGTTCAGTTTCAATTTTCTACGTATGGCTAGCCAGTTATCCCAGCACCATCTATTGAATAGGGAATCCTGTCAGTTTTGTTGATCAGATAGTTGTAGGTGTGAGTCTTATTTTTGGGTTCTCTAACCTATTGGCTTATGTGTCTGTTCTTGTACTCTGGGATGCAGCTCCCAGAGGAAGGGGCAGGCAGTCGTCTTTGTCATTTTGCGGTCTTCACTGGTGATACCTCCAGGTACTGGAAAATTTGAGGTGACTAGGGATTGGAGTGGACACCCAACAAACTACAGAAACACTATGGCAAGGAAACCAGGCTATTAAAAGGAAAACAAAAAACAAAAAAAACAAATAAACAATCTCCATTCAAAGGTCAGCAACCTCAAGGTTGAAGGTAGATAAGCCCACAAAGATGAGAAAGAATCAGTGCAAGAATGCTGAGAACTCAAAAAGTCAGAGTACCATCTTCCCTTAATATGACTATATCACCTCTCCAGCAAGTGTTCACAACCGATCAGGGTCTGGGATGGCTGAAATGACAGAAGTAAACTTCAGAATGTGGATACAATTGATCTTCACTAATCTAAAGGAGCACATTCTAATGCAATGCAAGGAAGCTAAAAATTATGACAAAACATTGTAGGAGCTGACAGACAAAATAGCTAGTAGAGAGAATAACATAAGTGACCTGATAGAACTGAAAAACACAACACAAGAATCTAAATGCAATCATAAGTATTAATAGCAGAATAGACTAAGCGGAGGAAAGAATATGTCTACTTTTATGTGGTATTTGTTTTTAATTTACTATTATGAAAGATAAATCAGCATTAAGGCATCTTTTATTATAAAATATGATCAATCAACTTATTGAAAACATGTATCATGCTAATGTCACTACCATATGCCCGAAGTTGTGCTCAGTGATGCGAAGTTTACAAACAAGTGGTAAGATATTATTTCCATTCTCAAAGAGTGTCATCAGGGACATAGACATGAGCTATTGAAAGATGGCTACAAGGAAATGATGTTAGTGAAAAGTTCCCTAGGAAGTTAGAGAGAGGAGCCATTCCTATATCCATTCCTAAGTAGCAGTAAGTGAAAAGTTAATGGAGATTATATTAAGTTAGAAATTCAGGAATATACAGTTGACTCTTGAACAATGTGGTAGTTAGGTGCATTAACTCCCCATGCAGTTGAAAAATCCACATGTAACTTTTGACTTCTCCAAAACTCAACTACTAATAGCCTCCTGTTGACCAGAAGCCTTCCTGGTAATATAAACTTGATGCACAACTATTTTGTAGGTTATATGTATTATGTGCTATATTCCTACAATAAAGTGAACTACAGAAGAGAAAATATTATTTAAAATATCATAAGGAAGATAAAATACATTTACTATTCATCAAGTGGAAGTGTATCATCATAAAGGTCTTCATCCATGTCTTCATGTTGAGTAGGCTGAAGAGGAGGAGGAAAAGGACGGTTTGCTCTTGCTGTCTCAGGGGTGGCAGACGTCGAAGAGGTGGAATAAATGCAAATGGGTCAGGAGAAGTGTAACTTTACATAAATGGATTGTAATTTCTATCTAACTGTTTTACTTTTTCATTTCCACAAAAATGTTTCTAGATAGTACCAATCTTTCTTCCAGCATTTACTTGACTGAAGCAATGCTTCGTGTAAGGGTCCATGTTGTAAAATAAGTTAAAGCAGTCTTGAGTAACTGGAACCCCTCTGCCAGATTCTCTAATGTCAATGTGTTTCTGGTACTGTTTCTTCCAAATCTTCTACCTCTTTGTCTGGTACTAATTCAGAAGTAATCATCTTCATTAAATTATCTTCTATTAATTCCTCTGGCATGCTGTGTATTAGTGCTTTAATTTGTCCAAGACCTGAATGTTGAAATCCTTTACCTCCCACCTTTTTTGTCATACCTATTGTCTATTTCATGATTTTTTTGATTGACTCTGTCATAAATCCTGTGAAGTCATGCACAACATCTAGATACAGTTTCCTCCAACAGAAACATTCTGATTCAAGCTTGATGACTTTCATAGCTTTTTCCTCTAACAAAGATGACATCTTCAATAATACAATTCTCCCAGACTTTCATGATGTTCTCTCTGTCAAGTTTCTCTTCTATAGCAGAAAATCCTTTCCATAAGGAACCATGTATAATGAGCCTTAAAAGTTCTTAAGACCTCCTGATCTAGAGACTGAATTAGAGACATTCTGTTTGGGGGCAAGTAGACTACTTCAACACCTTTGGTGCAGAACTCAGAGAGTTGTGGGTGGCCAATGGCATTATTCAATTATCAAGAGAATGTTAAAAGGCAGTCTTTTACTGGAAAGGTACTTCCTGACTTCAGGGACAAAGAATTGATGGATCCACTCCAGAAAAAAATGTTTCTGATATGACTTGGCTCTGTATCACCAACCGAATCTCATCTCAAATTGTAATCCCCATAATCCTCATGTGTTGAGGGAGGGACTGTAAGGGAGGTGATTGGATCATGGGGACAATTTCCCCCATGCTACTCTAATGATAGTAAGTAAGTTCTCATGATATCTGATGGTTTTATAAGTGTCTGGCAGTTCCTTTTTCACACTTGCTCTCTCTTGTCTGCTGTCATGTAAAATGTTCCTGCTTTCCTTTCTGCCACAATTATAAGTTTCCTGAGGTCTCCCCAGCCATGCAAACTATGAGTCAATTAAACCTCTTTTCTTTATAAAATTACCCAGTCTCAGGTATTTATTTTAGCAGTATGAAAACAGACTAAAACAGGTTCTCATTGTCCAGGTCTTCTTCTTGTA